TTTGGGTTTATGGTCGTGACTGCAGAGGTGATCTGCAGGTTTTGATCCTGCTGGAAATCTGGAATCTTAATTCCATCTACTAGGGGAACAACATTATCACCCCCATAAATCGCATCTAGAGGCTTCGGCTAAAAACGGATGAGTTGGGTTGGGGAAATTTATACTTTACATGGATTTTCAACTTGTAATAGTTCTTTATGATTAAATAAATAAACGACACCAACCTGATTGCAGGATTAAAAAAAAAAAAAAAAAAAAAAAAAAAAAAATTATTGTTATTGTAAAAATTGCTATATATAGATAGGTCTAACATATTGTTGATTATTTTATTGATAATTATAAGAGCTGGTTTTGAATCAGTTTTAAACTGAACCTTAAAAGTCTAATCCAAAACTAGTTCAAAACTCATTCAAATGAATTACTTAACAACCCTAATATTTTTGTTACTAAATTTCTTATTATAAACTTATTGATATTATTTGTGTTATTTATTTACATCATCAATTTCTATATAATTATATTTCTTTTTAATCAATATAATTTCTTTTGTATTGTTTTTTTTTTATGTTAAATAAAATATTTTTTACAATTTTTATTAATATAAAAACATTAATACTGTATATATAAATTATTTAAATATATAATATAAATAATAAAATTTAATAAAATTAAGACCTGTAGATCAATAGTATAGTGGTCAGTACTTCCAAATCCATATTACAAGATATCAATTCAATCCCAAATATTATAAATATTTATTAAAACACATTTTTTAATTTAATTTAATTTTTTTTTTAAATCAAATATTGAAAGTTCTCTATATGATCCATCATTTTATATTATTATAAAAATTTTTTTAATTTACTTTTTCTGGGTTGTACTCTTATTTAATTAAAAAAATTTGTAGATTAATTTTTTTATCATGATACTCTAGCAATATGAATCGGAAATTTATAAAATATCATTAATTTAATTTAAGAATCATGTACTGTAATTGTGTAATGTGTAATAGTTACGGAAATATTTTCTAAAGTGGTGATTTCATTTCTTATCATGATGATTCTAATTTTCGTCATAAGTGAGTATGGTCAGTTAGTATAAAAATTCTCATTTATCGCGTTTTAACATAAAATTATTTCTCAACGACGGTTTGAAAAAAATATTTGCAAAATGTCTTTAGCTCCGTTTTACACCGATTTATATCACGACAATCCATTCTACGATCCCTTGTTTGATTTGAGCCTACCTTTTGGCGTTTTTACCACTGGTATGTCGCCTTTCGACTATGATGTCTTTGACTATAATGGCAATCGCGACAATGCTCGTGATTACGGAAGTCGTGATAATCGTGGACAAGGAAAATCGGGCAATGTTAATCGCGGCGATAATTGGGATCGCAACAGGAGGTCCATCCCAGTTTCGGAGAGAGTCAAGCATACCGATTCTAAAATTATGACTGAGCGTGAAGGTAACCAATGTTTGCAAGATCGGTAATAATGTTGCACATGTTTTACCTTATTGTAATTCAAAACGTAGGCGATGCGGTTTGGCGTCCTGCTAGCGATGTGTATGAAACTCGCGAGGCCTTTATCGTGCACATTGATTTACCGGTAGGGGATTACAAGTTAGAATCTGACAGGGATGTTTGCATGAATTAAAGTTATTTCTGTGAATTAGGGCGTCCCTAGGGAGGACATTTCCGTTGATCTCCGGGGACGTGAATTAGTAATTTCTGGCGAAGCTAAACAACGTAGTTATGAAGCTGCTACTTCTCGCGTGAGAGAAAGGAAGGTTGGAAAGTTCAGGAAATACATTTTCCTTCCGAAATATGAAAATTTGGATAAAGATTGCGTTGAAGCTAAGTATCAGGATGGTCTCCTGGAAATCAAGGTGCTTATCATTGTCGCTAATTGACGCTAATTGATACAATGCCTGCAAGGAACAAACTCTAATCTTTTATTCCGATTCCTTTCTATAAGATTCCTCGTGCGGAAAATCAAACTGGAACCAGTATTAAAATTGAGTGAAAGATTTTATCCCCGTTTTGCCTTCTGATGATTCATTTCTTGCTTAGAAATTTTAGTTTCTTACTCTCGTTACTGTACATATTTTATTATTAACTTTATGCACGTGATCAGCAATAATTGCACAATTGCATAAAAAACGATTTTCTTATCGACGCTCTGAATCATTATCCATAAAATGTTCGTTTATAGCTTTTGTAATGTATCTGTTACACTTAATCCGTTGATCAGAAAAGCGGGTCACCTAACTCGATCTCGTAAAAGTGTTTCCCCAGTTATCATTCTTTTGTCGTCATATTCGTCGTCCGTTCATGTTCCAAAGTTCTTTTTTTCCCCTCTTACCTTTTCTTGCATTCACGGCCTCGATCGAAATCACTTTTCGACCTCATTTTCAACTCTATTCTTAAATCCATTGTCATCTTTTTCAACTAGTAGCATATTTCTATATCCTAAGAAGTTAAAAAACGAAAAAAGTAAAAAAAAAAGCAAAGATAACGAAAGACACGTGATAAAAAATTTTATTGATATTAATGAAATAGGAAAAAGTAGTAAATGGAAACGTTTGCAAAGAGAGCCCAGTAAAACCTTAGCTCATAATAGAGAGATTGACGAGAGGAAGAATGGTACTTCCAATAACGATATGGTTTATAGAGATTCTAATGATCCCAGTAGTAGCGTGAAAAAAATGAATCATCAAAGACTTGAGAGAAACCTTAATGGCGAAGAGAAATATAAAAAAGACAATAGGTTTAATACGAAATCTATGTTGACACTTGACTTGACGAACGAGGAAAACGATCAAAGAGAAAAGGCCCTTGAGGAAAAAAGATTAATGCGCCGAGAGAAATCTAGACAATATTATGAGGATCATTATGTGAACGTGGATTTCAAGTTATTAGAGAGTAATGTATTGTTATTGATTTTTTATTGTGACCTAGATGCAAAAAATTTCATTTATTTTACGAGAATTTCTCTTTAACTGTAGATTTCCCAGCCTGGTTAAAGGGTTTATCCGGCCATCGTTTTGCGCCGCTATTCAAGAAAATGAGGTGGCAAGAAATTATGACATTTAGTGATACTCGGTTAAGAAATATGGGAGTTATATCGCCAGTACGTAGAAATATGTTGAAAGCATTTAGAAATGTGAAGGAGGCTTTGGTGAGTAGCATATATACAATGAATATAAGAAATATGATTATTGTTTCTTGTTTGATTTCATAAGATTTTTCAAACTTCTTTGTGACATGAAATGAACAGAATAAGCTTGATGACAATGATCCAGTGAAAATGAGTGTTACAAAGAAAGGAGAGAAAAAGGTTAGACCATTGTTGAAAGCCGACACCATAGAACCTTTCGTGGAGTCCAGAAAAATTAAAGAAAAAATCGAAAAAGGTGTTCGCAGTTCTGGAAGGACAATAGATTCAAGGGAGCTTATAAAGAAAACAAGAGGCCTTAGGAATAATAAAGATTTCAATTCTAGTAGGTTTACAGACTATTAATGGATGAGTAGCAATAATGAATTAGCAAAATCGAGATTCATTCTGAAGAGTTGGATTTGACAATTAATAAAGAAATCCGAAATTCTGGATGTCATGAAAGACGAATTGGTTGAATATTTGAACTGGCACATTTCACGGTCAGCTTTATAAATAAATGTTTATTATTTACTAATTATAAATTATCATGGGCATTAAAAGTAGGAGCTATTACAGCAATATTTTTTTGATTTGATGTTATATTTAAATGTATGATAGGACATTGGCAGCGTTTCTTAATTAAATCAATTTAAAGCAACAAAAACAACACTATATCAATTAATGGGTCACATCAATAACGCTTTTTAGTTTTATGTCAACGAAGGCTGCATATCAAAGTGATTTTATTACTCTCTAATTAGAAACAAACCACATAATCTTCAAGATCATTATGATCACAGTTTATAAAAGTAAACATTGAAGATAATAATATATTAATAACATTACTAGAGATAAATAAATTGTACAATTAAACACAATGTCGTAGTATGTTAATTAGAATTAATAGTAAATGGTGAATTTGATTTGAACTTGTATCGGGAGTGTACCTTAACTGAGTGTTATTAATTATTGTTAATAACCTAACAACATATTTTACGAAGCTTTCATACTCAATTTTAGCTAGCTTTTTCCCCAGATTTTAAATTAAGTCCAATGCTGAGTGTTCAAAATTAATTTTTTTTTAATACGAAAGTCCTCGGTCGTCGCTTGTTAGTTATGTTTATGGAAATAATACATTTTTTTTTTAATTTATTCATTAGATTAAAATATAAATCAAATTACGTTTATTTCTTTCAAAAATATTTAAAACAACAACTTCTATATTCACAACCTTACCTTGCTCTTTTGATTTTGATGCTATTCTTTACTTATCAATTATTTGATTCTTTCAACAACAAATTACATTACTGATTTTACTTATATGATAAAATATAAAAATGATTAATTAATTATTATTATTATTTTAAATTCATGTATACTTAAAAAATTTTGAAATTTTTATTTATTTATTTATTTTGAAATATATGTACTGTATATTATTTTAAAATCAAATTAAAATTATTATATACAATGTTTTGCCAATTTTACATCACATTACTAAAAAATCACATAAATTTATTTATCAGGGAAATTAATAAAAAAATTGGCCTAAGTAAAAATAGTTTTATTTTATAATTTTCGAAGAGCATAAAATATATTCAAAAATAATATTATAATATATTATTGATTTTTCTTATCTTTGAATTTTTCGTATATTTTTTTTTGTTTTTCAAAAAAATATCAAGCATAATATTGTTATTTATGAAAATTAAAATTTATATATTTTTATTGTCGAAAAATTTATTAGTTTTTTTTTTTAAAAAAAAAAATGTTATATTAAGATAAATAAAATATTTTGACAGTTTTAATTTCGTAAGACATAGCAATTGCGCCATAACAAAAACCACATCTAAACACCTATATTTATAATTGGCTCAAGATACAATCTACCGACTTTATGATTATAAACTTTACTGATAAAAAATTTTATTTATTTCATCATGTTTAAAAAACGATTGATATAGCAAGTTTGTGCCATTCAATTAATTATTATGAGCATTTAGTCTTTTTTAAAAGTTAAACACGTATATGGTATTTGGAAATTTTTGTAAAAAGTAAAGTATTTTAATTTCGTTATAAAATTGAAGTTAAGATAACCATCATAAAAGATAATTCAAAAAATAAAAAAATATGTCTAGATGCAGAATATTAATTGAAGAAAATTTGTTTTTTTTTTTGCAACAATTATATTAGTCGCGTTTGGAATCTTCGATTTCGACCGCAGACGATCAATTGATCAAGATCAAACTTATTAGGAATGAGACCTGTTCAAACCTAACCGATCCAACCTAAAAATCTATTGATTTTTTAAATATAATTTTCGATTTCAAAGGATTTAATGATTCTGCAATCAGTTAATTGCTAGAATGTTCTCTGGTTTCCGCGGAGAAATTATTACGTAAGGTTACGTTCTTATGATCTACCATGCAATCTACATCACACAGTATTCTCTATTCAAAATTCTTTCCAAAGAAGAGAGAAATAGCACATTATTATTCGTCTTGGATAATCCGTTGTGACAAATAATTCTTCAAAAAAATTGTAAGTGGTGATGAACAGCGATGGATATGATAATAATGAGGATTGGAGCTTTGCAAATGAAAAAAATTTTGGTATGTTTTTACTATTGGATTTATCATCGTTCAAATATTTCCATAATGCTAATAAAATGACTATAGCTCAATCAATTCCACTAGACCCTTCGCAACAACAATTCTGGCATCAGCAATTTCTAAAAGTCGATCTTAATAAGCTTGAAATCATCGAAAATGGAAATCTCTTACTTGTCACAATTTATCCAAAACTTTCGTTGGTTCTACGTTTCATCACTAATGAATTATGCATCAGTTTAAATAATGCAACTGAGGAGGTGGTTATTCCGTTAAACCAAATTACAAAATTTAAGGTATCGCCAAATAAGGATATTACAGTGGAATTTAAAAAAAATTTCGAAAGATGTGTGAGTAAACTTGTATAATCAAAACTGGTTAACAGCTTTTTTTTTTTTTTGAAAGTTTTGTTAGCCGAAAATTAGTAAACAATAATATTGAGATTGATTGTTGAATTAGTATTTCAGGTATCGGCAGGGTCCATTGAATCAACGAGAACAGATCTCATTTGATCCATCTGGTGGAAAACTTGATGGTGCACAAACAATAATATTTATGCCAGCTAACTGGGTAGACAAAAATACAATAGTTTTTTTCGGTGAAGGAATAAGGAGATTGAGGTTTGATCAGGTAAGGGCTGCCCTTGGATTTTTCTTCTTACCCATATATGATTCACTAAAAAATTTGTAATTCGGTATGAACAGCTTAGAATGAATAATTTTGAGAAAAGAGAGTCAGGAATAGGTAGCAATAGTCTTGGGAAAGAATATGGTAAAGATGACGGAAAAGAGGTATCGATTTACTTTTCTTTCCGAGTAATGTGTACCGTATAAGTATTAATTGTATTATTTCTCGGATTTAAATCAAAATAGCTTTACATAACATGTTCTTTTTTGACGAAAACATTTGCGTTGCAAGTTTCGGATAGCATCTCATTTCAAGAAATTCTTAACGATATTCAGATGCGTTATAAAATTGAAGTAAATCCTAATCGCATCACCTACAAGAATCAAGTAAATGATATTATAACTTTAATTGATGAAGAAGATTGGCAAGCTGCTAAATGGGAGGCAAAAAGAGCCAAATCATTTACGATTTGTATGTACTTCTCGTAGACATGGTGTGTGTTTTTCGATTGAGAGTTTGGCAATGAATTTTTTATCATGATTAAATTTAATAGAAATAATGATTACATTTTTGTACATAAAGTTTCAATTGTAGTGATAAATTATTAATCCGCTTTTTATAGTATGACACACTAGATAAATTTAAAAACTTTTGTTAGCATTGATGTTTTTATTGCAAAATAAGTGACTTGTATTAGCCATTATGACAGTAAAAGTTATTAATAAAACTATTATTGTCAATATTATCTCTAAATATTTATTGCAAAATAATTATTCTCTTTTTTAAATATAATTTTGGAAACAAATGCACATGTGATTAAGACAATTTCTATTTAGAAATTAAAAAGAAATCCAAAAAAAAAATCAAATAATATTATTTTATTAAAATTTTTTGTTTGATTTTTTATTATATTAAACTTTGAATAAGTAACAAACATTATTTTTTGTGAATATCACAAAACATCAAATATTTTTATATAAAGAAATATATTTATAATTCAAAACATTTAATAATTATACAAACCGTCAATACTGTATATCGTTAAAAAATATAGATTAGCTATATTTTGAAGATTAAATAAATTATAATTAAATTAAAATCATAATTACAATTATCATATATAAAATTTTTTTATTTTTATTTTTTATTTCCATTGATTATGTTGATATTATATATTTGTTAATACTAGTTTAAATCATAACTATAAGAATCTTAATAAAATTATAAAGAAGTAAATATAAAAACATATAAAAAAATAACAAATGTTAATATAAAAAAAGGATAAAATAAATTGAAAAATCAATTTATAATTATAAATTTTATATTTACAATTGATAAACAATATGATTTTAAATTAAAACTAATTTTCAATTATTTATTATATATAATATGATTTTTAAAAATAGAAATTTAATTTTACTATATACAGTATATAAATTTTATATTTAAAAAAATTTATAAATTATTTTATTTTGTTCTTTTACTTTTTTTATTTATTTACTTTTTTTTTATAATTCTTATTTGTTTTATTTATATTATTTATATTTATTCTTTTACTATATTTATTTTTTTTATTAAATTGAAATTTTTTTTTTGATTTTATATATTAAAAACTAATTGATTTTGTTTAAAAAAAAATAAATTTTAAAACAAATTATTATTTTTTTGTATTATATAATTATATTTTTAAAATTTTTTTATAATAAAAATTAATAAAATATAAAATATAAAGTATACTTTTATCTAGCTTGTATTATATAATATAAAAATATTTGTTTTTTTTTAAAAAAAAATATATATATTTAATAAAATTATTTTATTAATATTGATTTATTTATTTTATATTATATTATTTTATTAGTTTAAAATATATATTTATTAATTAAATTTGATATCTGGCATCATGATCAATTATGTGCTGTTTTCTATAAAAAATTATTTTACATATTGATCCAACAAGTATTGGGATTATAATCTTTCCATTAAGAAGTAATGGTATAATAATCATCCAGAAGGTATTACAATGATTATTTACGAAAGGTGCTATAGAACTATTCATATATTTGAATATACAGATTGGACTGTACTTCATTTTAACCAATCCCAAATCACAATTTCCTCTACTGTCAATTGTTAAATAAGGCTGTTTTGAAGAAAGCACTGAATAATACTAAAGTTTTGTATAACATGACTTAATCCTAAACAGTTTATACTTGTAAGAGTTGCATCTTACTTAATATTTATGCTTCTAGATTTGATAATCAACATCAACCAGTTTCGAACTGAAGTGTTTATTAAAAGATAAAAGACTTTGAAAGCTTGTGTAACATGATCTGTATAGTCTTTAGGAGTCATGCCCCACTTGGTCACAAGAGCCCCTAGATTTGATAGCTAGTATCAACTAACAGATCAAAACTGGAGCATTTATTATAGAATATAAGCATCACATTATCGGTTCCTCTACTATAGAATGAAAGTATGAAGAGGTATAATATAATAAGCAATTTAGAAGATAGTCAACAATATTAACTAACCTTATACAAAAATTGAACCGGTAGATTGGATGGTTTAAAACTAGTGATAGGATTTCCATATCCTAAATAGATCTTCCTTAAAAAATATGAATCCACTTCATAAGTATTACTAGTATCGCTAGGGTATTAAAAGTAGAATAGGCTAGCATTAAGCTGCAATTTAGTTAAAGATAGGTTTCTAAATTAAAGGCAAAGATATAATTTAAATATTCCTTACTATTAAAAAAGTTTTTTAAAAATATAAGATAAAAAAAAAACCACCTACAAAGGTTTTTTGCAATTTAAACCATTTTATTCAAATGTTTTTTAAATTATGTTCCTATTAAAATAATGAATAAATAATTATGTTCCTTCAAAAGGAATATAATTAATCTGTAAAATTTTATATGTTAAATAATTTAAGGATTCATCTTTAAGTCTAGTATTATAGAAAATATTTGATATAATTATAATATCATATATATATCAATAAATGGTTGACATCTAATGCCTATTCTACTATAAATATATATATATATATACAGTATATTAATTAAAATATCTTTATTACTTATTATTTTTTTTATTAAAATAAAATTTATATTATTATCTTTATTAAAACAATAATTATTAGTTATATATTAATATTAAAACATAAAATATTTAAATATAAATATAATAGATATATTTTTTAAAAATTTTTAAATAAAAAAAAATTATATAATTTTTTTTTTTTTATAGTAGAATGGCATTATATGTAAGGATTTATTGAGATAATTATCAATTACATATACATTAAACATCGTCTATTGCTATTACAACAGCTAAATGCTAGCCTATCTACTTATTACTCCAGTAATACTAGTAATACTCATAAAGTGGATTCATATTTTTGGAGGGGACCTAACTAGGGGGTGAAAGTTCTACCGCTAGTTTAAACCACCTAACCTATCAGTCCAATTTGTGAGGGCAGTCAATATTGCTAATTATTTCCTAAGATTATTTATCACATCACACCTCTTCGCACCTTCATTCTGTGGCAGAGGAGGCCCCGATACCGTATATTTGCAATCCCTACACTAATTGAAATTTGGTCATTCAGTATGTCAAATTATTGCCGAATTTTTAAATTTTTTATAATTAAATTTAAGCTGAATTTATGCTGTTTGGTGCCACTCGGCATAAAAATCAATATA